AAGTGCGTTCGAGTGGTAATTCAGTATGCAGCTCTACTTCTGACTCATCGATACAAACGCAGGTAATAAAGTATGACTCAAACACTCAACACGGAAAATGAGATAGATACTAAGGTTCCTTCATAATTTCCAAGCTTCCTTTGGTATTTCAATGTGCTCACTAAAGTTTGATTTGTCTCCCATATTCTAACAGAGAAATTTAGAATTGGATTTAGTATCGATGATTTGACTATCTACTGAATGACTTTCATAATTGAAATGAAAAGTCATATTTGTTTTTTTGGTATTGAGGCAAAGAAAATCAGAATCACACCAAACATTGAGTCTATTTAGATTATCAGAGATTATTTCCTTCAAGGTAGCGATGTTTTCCCCTCTTCCACTACAAAGCAAGATGGTGTCATCGCAAACAATGTGAAATTGTCTTCATTGCCAATTGGCAAATGATCTATCACCTACTTTTACAAGCTGAAACCTATTGCTAAGTTAAAACTGGAAGGAAATAATTCAGTTATATATTGTTCTTTTGCATCCATGGTGCTCCATTTTTTAAGTATCTGTGAAATGCTTTTGTGAATTCACAAAATACTCTTCTAATAAATTTATCATCATTCAAATGTATACATATAGCGATTTTTTTATGTTGTTTCTTCTCGAAACATATGTTCACAGTTTCAGCTGTTTAGTATGTTTAGTTTGTTGGTGAGAGGTTTAAAGTTAGAAGTGTTTCACGTGCTTTGCGTATCGAAAAAATTGGATCAAAGAATTTTATGAAAAAAATGTTGACAGTAGCATACGGTAATTGTACTTACTCAGAAAACTATTTACACGTGGTACAAGCTTTTCACAGAAGGTCGAGAAAATGTAAATGACGACGCTCGCCCTGGACGCCCCAGCACTTAAACAACCGATGAAAAGAAGAAAGTGAAGAAAATTGTTATAAAGAAACGTCGAATCACTATTAGAGAAGTTGCTGAGAATGTCGGCATATCGGTTGGCTCGTGCCATGCAATTTTTTGTAAATCTTGGCATCAGCGGCAGCTCCTCAGAGGAGGCAAGGGTGTCTTAGCCTCCCCATAAAATTTGAGGCTATATATTCATCGCAATAAATTAAAAGATATTGACAAATAATTATGATTATTTTTTCTAAAAATGCTTGGGTATCAATACTTAAACCATTAATTTTTAATATAAATACATAATATGCCCGAAAAAACACTATCACTCACTACGTAGTACGTACCACACTGTATCCTGCATCAACAAATCTCAAACGCACCGCCCATGAACGAATAACGACGAAATCATCAACCCGAAATAATAAATGCCATACGTTGATACGTTGCAAGAGAGCCAAGCCTCCGACCGCTTTAAAAAACACAAGCTCCGCGAGACCGATCCAACCAGCGACATACATCCCGANATTTTATATAATATTAGACAATGCAAGTCCCAAATAATGAAATTCGTTATTATTATAATATAATATGTTGCCTATTTAAAAATCTGTATTTTAACCAAAGTTTCAACTATTTTAGAAAGTGTCACAAGCAGTGAAATCCGTCGATCTATCGAAAATCTGATAGATCATCCATAGATCCACCTGTATGAATAGGGAAAACAATTGCCATTCATTTGTAGTTTGTAAATATTCTTTTCACATTAAAGTCATTTAATCAATGATACCAAGACCACCAACAAATTTCTATCAATTGAATAGCCTTGAAACTGATAGATTCTCAATAAAAAAACAAGCTACCCTTATCAGTAATTGAATTCTATGCATTCAGATTCATTTATATTTTTTTTTTCATCATAAAAACCAGTCATTGGAAGATTTGAGGTGACCAACAGACTTAATCAATACTTGCTTTTCACTAGCCACTTTCCCGATAAACAAATTCCTTAATTTTTTATTAAATCTCTCCTAAAATTATTATTTCGACATCAAAGGCATCGATTGATACATTGCCAATCGTTCTATATAGGCTCTGTTAAAAAAATTCCTAGACAATCTCGAGAAGTGAGTAATCTGAAATAAGATGGATACATTCTCAAAAGAAAAATATCAATTCTATTGTTTTGAAGCTCAAGATCAGGAGAATCAAATTAAATATGCATCACATAATATGGATTGACAATATGACACGTGAGTCCAGATGCAAATGATATTTTTTATGAACTTCAGGTAAGCGGACAAAAGTCAAGGGAAAACTCATCCTGCCATAGCGGAGAAGAAACTCGGCAACTTCTAGGCGTAGGAGTATCCATCAGTTCTCCCAATCTCCTAAACTCTGCTGTTTCTCTCATGCTCTCCAGCAGCACCAGCGAAAGTGACCTAAGCGAACCTGAACATCTTATAGAAGAATACAGTGCAAGGGAAACCAATATTGAACTAATGGCAGGTTTGTTATTCAAAAAAACGGAAACTTTAATAGTATATAACAATAGCTATTTATGAAATGAGTGTGTGAGTGAAAAAGTTTGCGAAACGAGTGTAACGAGTTGAACAATTTCACGAACAAAATAAAACTTACTTTTAACACAAATATCATACGAAGTTTTTTGTACAACTGTCCTGTTTTCATAATAAAATAGATAAATTCAATATTTCTANGGTTCAAAGCTGAAGTGAACTAAGTCCATTTATGGTGAATTTGAGATATGAAGATTTGGAGTTGTTTTCCAACGATTAATTCCCATATCATCTATTTTTTTTTCGATTGAGGATCACTTAGACCATTCATAACTTGAATATGAGTGCCATCATCGGAACAAGAAACTTAATGGTTTCAGTTTTATATTTTTTTTTCTTCTCTCATGTTGGACTTGGAATATCCTGTTGGATATTGACTTATAACAAATTTACTTTTCCTTTCTGAAATTGTACATTAGTCCTGATGGCAACTGAAAATTACATATTTCACTGTGCAGAAACCTTTGAAAAGCATTATTAAACATACAAATTTGTATTCCACATACAAGTAAACACAACTTTATTTCAAACTGTTTTCAAACAAGAATATTTATAATTTTTCAACAACAATGAATTTATTTATTTCAAAGAAGAAAATTACCATGAAGATAATGATGTCGACATGGAAATGATGTCTGGAGGAGATTGTGGAAATGTATCCTGTGATTCGTATGAATGTCAAAACCCTGAATCAGGAAACACTGTGGCAGAAAAAGATGCCGAAGAAGCGCCCACTTTGGAGGTAGCAGAATCTTCATCTGTTTAATACGAACCTTGGCCATAAAATATTATTTTAAATGGAGATATGAGATAACCTACAATTATTTTTTTTAATTTATCCAGCTGATACCATCCTTATTAGTGTTACAATATTTAACTAGGAGAATACTCAAATGAGTTATAAGAGCCCAAAATTATTTTTTATATGCCTAGATTCATCAAAAATTGCAATATAAACTAGTTGAAAAATCATTATATAATAATTAGTAATCCTAATTGCAATAATATCTAAATAATATATAAATAACTTCATTATATGAAATTTACTATCTCTGTAAAATTTATTTGATCATTATAAATTCCAAAATGTTTCGTTTTTATGTAAGACTGCAATTATTAAATCATTCACTACCACCATTTCACATTTTAAAAAATTGGCATAACCCAATTTTTATTGAGGTATTCAAGAAATGTTTTTATAAATGTTCAACATTCATTTTTTTTGAAACTTTAATTACATGAATAGGTAAGGTTCAACGTGAGGATTTATTCCAATTTAAATTCCACAGATTAAGTCCAGCTTCTCAATCAAATTGATTAGTTTATTCAGTTAGTGAATATTTCAGGTCAAATGTGAGAGTGAAACTCTGAAAACCTAATTTGGGTAGTAGTAGTGGAAAATATACGTAAGAGATACACAATCAATAGCTTAGGGTCCCCACCTATTAGAAGGCTCCTGACTTCATCCTAGCAGACTCCGGATCTTATATCCCTGGTTCGTGAATAGCCACTCCCCCGCTGATGACTTGTTTCAGGCCCCATCTTGGTTATATCTTCATTAGCTCAGAGTCTTATCAGGTCTAAATCCAAAACTGCATGACAGTACTTTTTTGTGCATTTAGAAACTTGAGTTTCTAATAACTTGACCATGCCACAAAGTCCCCTATGGCTCTGAGGAATGATTGATTCTCTACAGCCCCCTACGACTCTAAAGAATGATTCTCCACAGCCCCCTATGACTGTGAGGAGTATATTTGATAGACCAGAGCTTCGGAAAGGATACACCGAAATATGTCCCGTGGGGTCCAATAAAAACATTGGACAGTACTTTTTCTTATGATGAATAGAACGACAGTGACCTATTGGTAGGATCGATAGACAATGTAGGTAATCCTTGCTGTGGATTAACAATTGCTTCATGACATTCTTCAAAAGGTATATGAATGCCTCGACAAAAGCTTCTTGCAGTCCATGTATTCAGTGTTTGTTTGGCCAAAAGCCTAAAGAAAAGCCAATGACAGTTCATTACCAACTTGGAGCTTTCATCCTACGATATGTTCATCAATTTAAATGTGAGGTGGGTCTTCACCAATCTGTATCTGCTATAAATCAATGGGTAGATTTCTATCTGAGATACAGTGGTAAGTTGAAATCCCTGTCTCAATCCTACAACTATACACCTGCACTAAATGTTAAGGTGTTTTTAATCCTTCAGTGAACCAACAACTTTCAGCTCTTACTATTTCCTTCTTCCAGAGGATCCTGTTTGTTGAAGGCGTTAAGTCGGAGGTCATTTCCAGAATAATGACTTTCAGTTTCAACCAGTAGTCTACTAAGTCCTGCATATGCCTCATTTGTGCAATTGACAATATTTACAATTTTGTATGTTGTATTTCTCTCTTTCTTCAGAAAGTAGAGGAGACAGGAATAATAAGTAGCAAATGAAGGTGACAGAATCATAGCGAAAAAAACCGCAGCTTTTACAAAATTACGTCAACAATCAAAGAACGTTTTTTTTGAATACCTGGCTTAACAGTTGTGGCTATTGCATCAATATCTTCAAAGGCTAAATTTGCAGCACTCATTGCTTCATTCACCACATTTTCAATATTTCTCCTATGCAAACCTTGAGCTATAGTTGGTATTATTCCTCCATGACTGAAAACAAATTCAATTACTGTATCTCTGCTCAGTGTGAAATAGTTAGTAAATGTACGTACTTCAAGTGTACCAAATGTTGAGAATTCAGAGCTTCACCAAGTATTTTTCCATCTGTGTTGATGATGGCACAACCTGTGTCATCACAAGAGGTTTCAATACCAAGAATGATCGCCCTTTTCTTCGAGTAGAACCGTATTTGCTTCCATCTCACCCTTTTTGCGAAGTGATACAACAAATTATGTTCTATTCTGGCTAATAAAAACATTTTTGGCAATTTGAATTTTTGAGGTTACGTTCAGAAAGGTATATCATATCTTTGAACTAACTTTGACGAAATTACAAAAAAAAGAAAACTAGACATAAACTATTATATATTCATTGCCATCTGCACGCTATAAAAAGAATTTCACGAGCTCTTTTTCGTAATTAATGAGAGATGGCGACATAGAGCCTGCAATTTCTTTTCAGTCGAAGTAAAATGTATGGGTTAGTTAGCATTAGATTATTTTTTGAAGGGTTCAAAGCTGAAGTAAACCAAGTCCATTTATGGTGAATTTGAGATATGAAGATTTGAAGTTGTTTGTCAACGATTAATTCCCAAATCATCTATTTTTTTTTTCGATTGAAGATCACTTAGACCATTCATAACTTGAATAGGTATGAGTGCCATCATCGGAACAAGAAATTTAATGGTTTCAGTTTTATAATTTTTTTTTCTTCTCTCATGTTGGACTTGGTTCACTTTTCCGCTGAATATTTTATAAATACAGAAGAAACAAGCTCAGTATGAAAAAAAAATAAACTTTATTTATTGAAATGGGACCAATGCTTTTTTTATATCATTTATCATAAACCAATTCGTCATCAGCAATTTCAGGTTGCAGTTGAGTGACTCGGTTGGAAGTTTCCAAAGGTAGATTTTGAAAGTAGTTGTGGTACACTGGAGGAATGTAAGGAAGCAGACTGATCATGTTATTTTTTTTAGCTGAAGTAACAGGCCTCCGAGTATTATGAAGGGATTTTTGTTGGACATTCTTCAGAGTCTCCGGATGTTTTCCTGGGCCACTTGTTTTTTTGGCATTTATTTCACGGAAATCCACTAAATCATTGAAAGTATCCTTGAATTCAACTGAAAATTCTTGTCCTCTTTCAAAACGAAGCCACCGAATTTTCAACCAGTTCACAGCAAAACCTTCAGTGCCTGTTTTTCTATTGAGTATGGCTTCTTCTAGCGCTTTAGTACTAAGGAAATCTTTCATCTTCATTTCAATAACTGCATAGCGTGGTTGCTTCCTCTTAGAATTTTTGATGATATCGAACCAATCTTGCGGGAAAATATTGTGATGTTTCTTGCTGGATGATTCAATTACTCCAAATTCTGAATCATTTGGCCGAAATGAGTGACCAGATACCAAGAATTTTGAATCTATTGTTTCTGCAGCTATGCAAGGATCCTGCACAAGTTTCAGCAAACTGAGAGACATCTTAATATTACGATTCTGTTCTGTGCAGGAATCTGAAAACAAAATAATTTTCTTGAAGGTACCAGCATGTTCTTTGAGGTGTTTGAGAATACACGAAGCTACATCCTGAGTTCCTCGTTCTCCTTGTGTCTCATCCCAAACATGCATGAAGTCTGTATCCAAGTTGAAAGAATGTATGCCAAAATTATAAATATACAAGACGTGATGTAGAAAGCTTCGGAAAAGGAAGTGCCTTCTGTAAGTCGAATGTGCAGACATAACATTCATCAGAAGCATTTTATCTCTTCTCAAAGTGTGTCTGGCCTGATCAGAACGAGCTAAATGCAATTTTTTTTGTATTTCTAGTTCCTTCTTGTTATTTCCATCAGTTTTACTACAAATCTAGACATAACATTCATCAGAAGTATTTTGCTGATCTCTTCTCAAAGTGTCTCTGGCCTGATCAGAACGAGCTAAATGCAATTTTTTTGTATTTCTAGTTCCTTCTTGTTCTTTCCATCAGTTTTACTACAAATCTTCAAGTGTAACTCATCGCACAAACGGCATATGTCTTTGCTGGGAATTTTGAAGTGGAGATTGAATTTCGTGGAAAACACTTTGTAGTAGAATTTTTCTTTGACAGGTTGTTTATTTGCTTTAGAGCATTCTTGAACATGAAGGTCATACATCTTTCGAATATTCAATTCTGGATTTATTAGAAGGGGAAATGCTGTCACTCTCTAGAAACGAATAACTCAAGATATATCTGAAATTAAAAAACGAAATAAACAACTTGTGAAGCAAGTCGAAAATCTTAAACAAGAATTGAAAAGTTTCAAGACGGAAATGTATTCGCAAATCTGTGAAATAAAAGAAGAAAACAGTATTTTGAAAGAAAAAAATGAAAATTCAAAAATAAGACTAGAAACCGTTGAAACGAAAATTAGATGATCCTTATAGACTTACCCACACCGTAGGGTAAGTGATCATTGGGTCCGAGAATCATGTGTCCTGAGCAATCGCAGTGAGCCAAGAATGACATTCTTCTGCATCTGTGCGGCTGAGATTTCTGCCTTAGTGCGGCAAGCCGGTATAATTTTAAAATTCGAGAGTAGAAAGGGCATCATTCCACCAAGGACTCCAATAATCAGAACAGCCATCTTGACAGAGTGATGGATAGATTCTACGGAGTTCGAAGAGAAAATCTCGATATTTTTATCCGTTTTTCCTACTCTTTTCTGATGATAATTGTCTCGCCAGGAGCTGAAAACTCCACAACAAATATCGTTTTGCTCTGGTAGTCGAGAAGGACTACATCAGGCTTATTAGCTTGTATGATCCTGAGGGTGGGGAATGAATAGTTACAATAAATTCGGCACTTCTCGTTCCCCACAACGGATTTCATATCACCCGGAGCGTAGGGCAAAGCCGGTGTCTCGTCAATACCGTAAGAGTGCCGTAGATGGTAATATAGCACTCCTAGAGCCACGTTATGTCGATGGATATAGGCTGAGACCGCATAAGCTGGCCATGCTGATAGCAGATGTTATGGTGAAGCGAGTTCGCCAAAGTGCTATCGGTTGTTCAATGTATCTCACTATTTTGTCGAGAACCGCAAGGCATCTGAGCAAATGCAAGATGAGCTCATGCGAAATTGTATCAAATCCCTTACGGTAATCGATCCAGGCCATAGAGAGGTTACGCTTATATTGTATCGAGTCCTTATTATTATTATTATCATTATTATTATTATTGCTTCCAATGTTTTTCGATCTCAGAATCTAGTTCAATATTTTGGTTATAATTTCATGCAGACATTCAATTCAAATATTATTTAGATGAACAGAAGAGTTAATCGGGGTTCTGCATGAGATCTGTTTTATTTGATGGGTAGAATTAAAACCTATGTATGCTTAAAACGTTTCTGATGGAAAAACTTTTTCCACACCAGAACTAAATCACTGTCTCTCGAGGCGGGTTATGCTAATGAAGGTAACATCATCAGGAACACACTGAAACTGTTTCAATCATCTTCTGATGATGTCAACTTGGTTAGCGAAACGCGCGTCAAGAGACATTGTTTTATTCTGGGGTGGAAAAAGTGTTCATCAGATTTCTGTTTTATAATATTTTTACATCAAGTTTTTGAAGATATACAAGCAAAACAAGAAAATACTTGAAACGCTCTGAAAGTAATACTTATGTGAAGTCGCTTTCGACTATAGGTATCATTAATTGATGAGAATCGATATGACCTTTGAATTATGGGCCTGGGAGTTCTATTTTAGGACCAATATTTTGTTACTTTCCAGTACATACTGCAGTATGCAATTTTTATGTAACTGTTCCGTTGATGTAATTGTAGAGGCTGTTGACAGCCTTGAGAAACATCGAAGTGAATCGAATAAATCATCTATACATCTATACTCATAAATGCGAAAGTGCGATTTTCAAATATTCCAACTGGGGAGCTCTCCGCGGGGGTAAAATGGGCCGGTTTACATATGAAAATTACCTTTTCATGACTGTTTCTGAGTACCTACCAATATATTTTCAGAGGCTGAAATTTTGTATGTAGGTTCGTTTTATGTTGCAGATGTGCAATAGGAAAATATTTTGAAATATTATAACTGGAGCACCTCCCTGGGGATAAAAGGGCGCGTTTACATATGAAAATTACCTTTTCATCACTGTTTCTCCGTACCGCTATGTTCGGAAGCTGAAATTTTGTATGTACCTAGGTTTGTTTTATATTGTAGATGTGCAATACGAAATGAATTTTATATATTCCAACTGGAGTGTATGCCGCGGGAAAAGGCGCGTTCATAATTTCCGGTGGGTGAATTTATACTTAGAATCAGCTTTGCACCCGTGCGGAGCCGGAGCGGTTCGCTAGTGAAATATATTTTTGTCTATTCACAAAACACTTCTGAAATGTTAGCTCTACGATTTCCTTGATAGCACAATGAACACTGAACTGTTAAGAAAACAATACCTACAAAAGCACAGATCAAATATATTGTATAGTATATTCGAAGTCAATTCGCATGGCATAAAAACTAAGTAGTTGCCGAACGTCAGCAGTTTTTTTGTATCACATGGGCGGCGTGGTATAATTTTTTTGTCTAATCATTATTTTTATGTGGGGAGTTTTATATGGTATTGTTACGTTTTTCCCCGTGGTTTCACCAATAATTGACTACACTGAATAATCAAACTAAACTTTAATCCACTTTAAATACACAAATACTTCAACTAAAATTCAACTATTTTATTTGAATGTCTATCGCCTCACTAAATCACTTCGCGTACCGCACCGTAACGTCCACTTGACTGTCTCGATATTGTTTGCACCGTGATTTCAAACAGGTTGGAGCCTGGCTCCCTAACCCTTTCAACTGATGTTTGTCAGAGGGACAAATGGGTGATGACTGATGGTAAGATGGCGACATGAATGTTCTCAGAACATCAGTGCCGCCATTCACGGTGTACCCCTACCTGGCTGGGGTGAGATGGAAGAAAAATTGTTCATCCTTTGACGGAGGACATAGGGGCCTCATTCGACAGAGTGTCGGGGCCTTCTATATCGGGAGGGGTCATCTACAGCATAATCTATAGCTTCCCTGACTAACACTGTCTTGATATGCTCGCAGCTAGCCTTTAAATATCGTAATCGAATATTGTCGAAATTTCTCCGAAGTTCTGTCGAAGTCGGTAACATTACTCTCGCTCTTTCTCGATTGCCGGGGAATAATCGTGCACTAGCGCGTTCTTGCCACGTCACGCCTGATTTAGGCCTACCAACGGCGGTCGGCGTTATTTTTTTTTTCGGGCATGATTCACAACACTACTCCCTTCCCTGAGGTTGTTTGCCCCGAACAACATT